CATGAGTTGATGGGTCAATAGGTAGGGTCCAGGTGTGGGAGCTGCCTCCCTGGCGTCGGTAGCATTGGTGCTCAGTACGAAAAACAAGATTGACGGAAAACAAATCAAGAAAAAAAAAAAAGATTTTAAAGGAAAAACAGGAAGTGAGAAGATGATGAAGAGGAAACAGAAAAAGACAGAACGGATGAAACGTGGAGAAGAAGACGTAAGAAGATGAAAAGGATAACGGGATGGATTTGACGAAGAAGAGAGCAAAAGAAAATGCATAAACTGAGAAGAGGATGGAAATAAACAGAAGAAGATTAATGGAAAATGCAACTGTGCGAAAATGAATGAAAAAAGGCGAATATGCGGATGAATAAGGTGAACCAGAAGAATTATCGGAGAAGAAAAGAAGAAGACATGGATTCAAGGCAAAGCAAGAAAATTACGAAGGAGGTGTAAAGAAGAGATAATAAATTGAAATAAAGCAAACAAAAGAAGATGAGAAGAAGATAATGAGGATGCAGATGAAGCGAAGCGTAACCGCAATTGGAGCAAACCGAAAAACAAGGCGGATAGTAAGAAACGGACTAACCGAAAACGAAGACGATGAAGAATGAAGACGATGATAAGATAGAAAAAAGTAAAGATGAAATGAATAGAGAAAAAACGCGAAAATAAGAGATTAAATGTAATTGGCAGGCAGACGGTGAACCAGAGCGAGAGGAAACGAGCAAATGAGACAAAAGCTAAGTGAAATTTGTGTTGTATTATGAACACTAACATTCACACCCACATCCTATGTGTTACATTGATGTGATATCAAAATTGTTTTTTTGCTGTGTAATCTGTGAGTCTGAAAATTGGTAAATCAGATAATTATATAATCATTAATCATATAATCAAATTATCAGAAAACCAGAAATTCAGAACATTGGAAAACTAGAAAATCAAAAAAATATAAAAGTCTGATAAACTGAAAATCAGAAAATAAAAATAAAAATGGATAGTCAGAATATCAGAAAAACAGAAAATCTGAAAATCGTAAGACAGGATAATCATATACGTATCTGGATACCAAAATTAATTAAGTGAATTTAAATGAAAGATAACCATTTTTTGGAGTTATTTAAGCATTCCTGTATTGCTAAGTTTTTCTTCATTTAGACTTGAGTGTTTTTGGTTTCGTCTTTCTCAAATTTCGCTCTCACCAATCCCACCTTGGAACATACATATAACTTTTGGTTTCCATGACATTTCTTTTGATGTTTACTTTTGATTTCTTTGTTCCAAACCAGCTGGTTAATCCTCTTCCATATGTTTACTTCTGATCCCTTTGTTCTCGAGCTTACAGCTGGTCATGTTTACATATAGACTGTTCCAGAAAGTATAATCACACTTTCAAAATAACAAAAAAGTCATGTTTTTTTAAGTTTTAATAATTTTATTTGGCAAATCATATTTGTATTTGTATTTCAAATGATATTTAACTCTCGTTTAATCAACATATTTAATCATAGCCAAGACTCCTAACTTTTCTTCGAACATGACCCATTAGCTTCTGCACAGTGGTACTTCCCACCATTTTGACCTTTTTTGGCCAATCTTTTTTGAATTTTTGGATGTCGTCCGCTGGTTTTATTAATTTTCGAAGCTTTGCTTTGGTTAAAGCCCAAAAAAGATGGCCGTGCCTCCGGGCAGTTCGGCGGATTCATGTCTTTGGGCACGAAACATACATTTTGACTTTTGTACCATTCTAAAGTGTCCTTTGCGTAATGACATGACGCCAAATCAGGCCAAAATACTACTTGACTTTCGTGTTGCCTGATCATCGGCAACAATCGTTTCTGGAGACATTCCTTAACGTATTTCTGAGTGTTCATCGTCTCCGTTGTGATGTACGGACTAGATGTTTTACCACACTCGCATATTGCCTGCCAAACCATAACCTTTTTACCGAATTTTTCGGTAAAAATTGTCTTCTCCGTTTCGGGGATGTCCTTGCCTTCGCTTACAGTATAGAATTGTGGTCCGGGAAGCGTTTTGTAATCTAGTTTCACGTACGTTTCGTCGTCCATTATTATACACCCAGAATTTCGACACAATAACGAATCGTAGAGTTTGCATTCAGAAATGAGCAAACAAAAGGACGCAGCCAAAACATGTTGAAATATTTCATTATATTCAAAGTGACAGTTAAAATAAGGTGTGCTTATACTTTCTGGAACAGTCTATATCCAGCTAATGAACCTGTTTGCGCGCAAAAACGACAAGGAAACGCTGAAATGGTAAGAGTTTGAATAGCCACAGAATATTTTAGCAGCTTCCACATTTCGTCGGAAAAGTCTAAATATTCATAGAAACCACAAAATAAATCCAATTTGTTTACTTCATTAGGGAAATCAGAAAATTTTAAAACCATATATTAAGAATATAAAAAAATCTGAAATTCATAAATCATTAATATCATAATATCATAAAATCAATAAATCAATCAATCAGTAAATCAGAAAATCAGAGAATCAGAAGATCATAAAATCAGCAAATTTCAAAGATCAGAAGCAAATAAGAAAACTTGAGGCATATCTGAAAAAAAATCTGAAATCATTGGGGAAAAAGGAAAAGAGGATCAAAATAAAAACTAGAAGCAGACCAATAAAAAATCAGAAGCAAATTAATTTCTATAAATCTTAATCCAAAGGAAGTTCTGGGGAAAAAACTTGAAAAAACATCAAGTGCAACCGTTGTTTTCAGGAATTTCAGGTTTTATGTGAATCACAGAAATCTCAAGACAATCCTGAATTGAATTCAATGTAAATTTTAATTAAAACTGATTGATGAGGAGCAGAACTTTTACGAACTTCCAAAGGAATTTTGAGGATAAAGTTTGTAGGAGAAAATGAATTCGGAGCATAAGCCTTTGGAAATTTTTGAAGAATACTTGGGGGGGGGGGCTAGGGGGATGCTAAAAAGATAATTACAAATAAATCTGAGAATAACTCCACGAGATCTTCAAAGCAATTCGGAAACAAATTCCAGAAGGGATTGTGAATAGAAATGCAAATGATTTTTTGAGGAGACTTTCAACGTGACTAGAATTCCAAGGAAAGGAGTAATCTCTCTAAAAGAAAATCTAAGATGTATTCAATGAATACTCTGAGAATGTTTGAAAAGAGTTTCTTACTGAGGAGAATTTCAAATAAAAAAAAAAAAAATATTCGGAATTTTTATATTTTGAGGAATTTTTCAAAGGAATTGCGAAAAGTATTTAAAGTTTATTCTGGTGAGATTTTCCAAGTGAGTTCCTAGAATAACTCCATGAGAGTATCAGCAACGAAGCAAATGCTGAGGAGAACTCTAAATGAATTTTAATGAGAAATCTCCGTTGAATATGGAATGGAATATTCTGAAGGTGTTCAGAACTACTTAAATGTTCCTAAAATGTGTGAAACTGCCTAGAAGTTCGATTGTAGTTTGTTTGAGAAACTAGCCTGATGCTCACAATACTTCTCATTCAATTTTTAAAGTTCTCTGAACTTTTTCGGACTTCCTAATGCTTCCTAAATTCTCTTAACGATCATGGATCTTCTCTATAGTTTTAGCAATTCCTCTCAAAGCTTCTTTAAAAATTATATAATTTCTCTGTTCTCGAAACTTTTCTAATGTTTTTACAGGTCTCATGAAGCTTGTTGTTCTATCCTAAAAATGTTTAAGCTTCCAAAAATCTGGGAACTTCTTAAAATAACCTGCATATTTTCTTAAACTAATAGAACTGAGCTTGCCCCTATTTTTGGAGCAGCTTACAAAATAAACTTAATTGAAATGCTTCAACATTTTCTAATGATCATGGATGTTCCTGAAGTTCTCAGATTATCCCTTAAGCTCCATACACTGCTATGAAGTTCTCGAAATATTTCTGATGATCTGGGCAATTCTGTGAAGTTTTAAAAGTTTTTCTGAAATTTCTGGAACCTCTCCCGCAGTTTTTCACGGAACTCCTTGTAAGTCGGTGTAAATTTCCTTAAGTTAGTGGGATTTTTCGGCAGTTATCTCATCGTCTTTGAAGTACTCGGAACTTTGCTGAATATCATAAAACTATCTAAAAACGTATAAATACATTAGAAGTTTTTCGGATTTCTTAAAGAGCAAATCAAGACAAAATCAGAAGAAAATCAACATATTTTCAGATTAAAAATTTTCATGAGAAATCATCTAAATCTTCCGATAGTACAGTAAGTTTCTGGTTACGCCACGCTGGAATAGGTCCGTCCTACTTTTCACATTGCTTGAAACGTGTAAAACATGTTAGACCAGTGTTCCAGACTCTTCTATTCGTGTTGATCGAATTTGCACATTCAAATTCGAACCATTAAATTTTCCAGTCCACCGCAACATCACGATCATTTACAAACGTCTCCTTTTCCTTCAGTTCCCATTCGTTCTAATCGAAATCAATTAATTTCGACACCTCGGTTCATAATTTAAAATGAAACGAAATCGATCTCTTTAAAAGAGTAAACAAACATGATTAACACCACTACAAAGCCAAACCGCCGCGCCATCGTGAGAGAGAGAATCCATCGCTCTCCAATAAATCGATCACCTGAAAGCTCTCTCTCTCTCACTGAAAGCTCCCTGCCTGCGATCGTTGATCCTCTCATATCGATCGTTGTCAACCCGTTTGTCTGCAGCAGCCTTCTTCGATTGGGATGTTGTTGAAAGCACGTTTCCCCCCAAGATCAAAACTTATTTTTCTTCCCTTCGCGTTCTCTCCGACTTATAGTCGCTCTCTAACGTTGCGATCGCGAGAGTTCGGCTTTGTTTTCGTTTTCGCCTTTCTCAGTTCAGCAACTTCTTGTGACTTCTCGGCGTTCGTCGCTTGCTGCGATTTGCATGCTTTTCACGCTTTTGGAGGCATGCAAGTCTCTTGATCTTGCTGGTCGTTGATCGTGCGCGGTTCTTGAGTGCAGAGCGCGAGAAGTTGTTACCGTTCCCCATTCGCTGTTGTGCCGGCAAACTGGTCGGACGTGATTTTGCCGTTCTGTTCCGTCATCGCGTGGTTGCGTTGCGTCATTTTGACATTCCGTTCAGCGCGCGCGGGGGTGTCTTATAAAAGTGCGTGATTAGAATACTTTCCCCGAAGGAGAAATTGTTTTGAAAGTGACGGAAGAGAGGAATTCCGGAGTGCCAAGAATCTTGTGTGTTTATGTGTGGGTGCGGAAAGGATATATTTTTAGCAGAAGAAATCAAGTTTTGCTCGTTGCTGGTACAAAGTGTGTTGGTTGAAGATAGAGGTGAATGAAAAAAAAATAATATTTTTAGTCTCGAGCGAAGCACCCACGCATCCCGAGAGAGAGAGTCAGCCCGGTGGAGGTTGAGTGCGTTCCTGCTCTCAAGATCGAAGCAATCCATGGATTACGAAACGAAACGACAACAACAAAAACGAAGAGTGCGTTGATTTTGTGCGGTGGGTATTGTGTGTGTGTGTATGACCAAGAATAATCGAAACGTGCGGTGTTTGAATTTGTGAGTCGTGCGTGACGCGATCCAGTTTAAAGGCTTCGTGGATAATCTTTCTCCAACTTGACAGAAGAGGGAAAATTGCACGCGGGATAACGTTTCCGCTGGGGGGCTGTAAGGCAAAAGGTATCATCGATTAACATGTGCCTTATGGTGGCAGTTCTAACCTGGATGCATTGTGGTTGTGTGCCAAAGGACCATTAAAGTCAGCATCGTTGCGGGAAGTAAGAAGCCTATGTCGGAGCAGCGTGTCTTATTCCTAGCGAGCTTAGAATTTACATTGTCGCACGACGACGACTAGCTGAGCTCGTTCCGTACACGTTTGCTCGTTCGTTTTGTTGGTTTTTGATGGCGTGGAAAATCGAAAAAGTCTGATTGAAACGAAGAGATTAGTAGAGAGCCAACGATGTGCTGGCGACGCGAATTGCCGCAAAGGTGTCAGTTCTAAATTGCGCGCGTGGTCTGAGGTCTGAAGTGTGAAGAAAGAACGTCGAATGTGAAGTGTACGACACGGAAAATAACAACAGAGAATACGAAAATAAAACGTGATTTTGGCGAAGCGCTCCTGCCAACGAAATCGACGGAAGAGATGTGGATTTTGTTTTAATCGGTCGTCGTGATTTGCTTGTTTGCTTGCCGGTCGGTGTTGTGCCTCGATGGTGCTGGTGATTCGAGGAATTTCGTTCGGAGGTGAACTGATTAGACAACGACGACGACGACGACGGAGCTAAACGAGGCAAAGGAATAGCACAAGAATCAAAGTAGGAAAAGGAAACCCCTCGGAGGTGAGTTTTAATTAGATTCTTATGCCATTTTATTGACGGTTTAAGCGATTTGTGTTTTTTGTTTGCTGTGAACCGATCGAGGAATTGTTAGGCTTTTTTTTTGGTCAGAAATTAAGAAGATTTATCGGAAACCTTTTATTAGGTTCTTTAAGACTTAAGACGGGGCGGTTTTGTATCCGAGGTGTTGGAAGAGCATGATCTCCGATTAGAGGGGTTCTTGGTTTTGTAGATGCGATCTTTTGTGTATTGCACACGTAAGGAAACTGCTGTTTGATCTTGGTGTTTAAAAGGTGTTTTTTTTTTCAAATTAAATCTCCTTCATTCTCTGGACATAGCAAACCATATGGGAATCAAATTCTTATTTGAATTTTACGAGTAAACGGGTCGAGACTGAGAAGCGATTTAAAAGATTCCTACTGCAAAGCCATGCGATTGTACTGTTATTCATTTCGATTTTATAAATAATAAAAATTCAATGATTTGCAGGCACTAATTGTAGGAAACTTTATTTTGAGAGCTAGTATGAAAGGTACCGTCAAGTACCATAAACTTGACGATGAATAGACCAGCGTTTTTTTTATTCTTTAGGCTTGCCTTATATAGATTGCATGAGTTGTGAAAACTTGGTCATACGATCTATAAAGCTTATGTAGCATTCATTTACTTAATTTGAATTTGAAACCTCGTTTGGATAATCAAAGTTGAACTACGTTTGAACTATAGGCGATGATACACTAGGATGCTTACTCCGGTTTGATTCGAGCCTAGCCAAAAATGGTACCGATTGATGAAGATAAAGAAGCCACGCAAATGTTTTGAGGTTTGTATGGAGATTTTAGAGACTATGGATTTTTTTTGAATTTCACAAGAATCGCTCTGCCTTTGGTTCTAGTTGTTAGAATGTTGTCAAAATTGAATATGCTTTTACTTTATAAACAAGCCTATCATTGTGTTGATGAAATCAGTGTTGTTTTCATGCACGTATTCATCTCTCAATTTACTCTATTTTGCGATTTTTACAATTTTATTTTATGTAATTGCTATAGCAAGCTGATCCAACAGTGCTGTGGTCGCGGGTAGCTTTTGACTACATAGCACTAAAACCAATTAAACATATTTTTACCTTCGATGCACCACGGCTTTCAGATTATGAAAAACGAAGTAAAATTTCCTCTGAGAAAAAATAAATCACCTGGAAAATCTTAGTGAGTGAGTGCTATAGTAGTAGGTAGTCGCGACTAATAAGCACTAAAACCAATAAAAACCAATACATTATCTATTGCACTGATTTGTGATATTTATATCCTGGTTTACATAGGGATGTTTTACAATTAATGTACGCTTAAGAAATGAGATCAAGCTTTAAGAATAAATTTTTTAAAACTTTTTTCTGGAACTCATTCTTTTCTTTTTATTTGGCAACATAAAATTCCCTGGGTTTCCCAGAACTTCAACGGAGGTTTAAAATATAATGTTTGTGGCAAAACAACGACAACGGCAATAACCGCCATTGTTGTTAAGACATGATAATTAGTTTTAAAGAAACAGATTTACAATAAAATCCATTATATGTTGAAGTTCCGTATTTCACGTAGAAGTTCAAGATATTGAAAATTTTCAAAATGCTATAATTATGGAAAACAAATGTTGATTTATTTCAAGCTTGCATTTCACTTTATGATCGATTAGACATGTTCAGTGGAGTCGAGGAAAAGTAGACCTTGCCCGTATACAAATGTCACGTTCGTTTTGTCCGCTGTAATTTTTTTCTCGGCTACTGATTTTGTAAAAAAACAACTTTAGTAAAAACCCCGCCAGGATCAGATTTCTAACAAAAGCTGGAACCACAACAGTAGATCAAGCGCTTAGGAGGGAACCATTCAAGCAAGCTTTACCACATCATGGAATCACTTATTACTCGTCACCATGCCTATTTGGATCAAAGAAATTGTACTGCGTTTGGAAGATGCATTTTGAAACACGAGAAGGCTCTATAGTTACAGATCATTCGGGTGAGACCCTTCCTTTTTATTTGTGTACATTATATTTCAATCAGTTTTTCCAATCTTCCAAAAATAAAACAATTACTATAATCGCATCGTCTGCTTCAGCGAATCCTGACCGATCTCCTACCCAACTATTCAACTCCGTAGCATCTATGGGAGCGTCGGTGAGTCGTTGGCCTCCCGTTAAGCAGATAGTACATAAACAATATCCTTCATTTCCCTATAACGGAGAAGATGGGTGTGGCCGGCAATAGCAATTGTCATGCTTTTCCTGTTATATACTTTAATTGGAGAGCTATTCACTCCCAAATAGTTTTCCTTAAGCCATCAGAATACGAAAGTTGAAGTAGATACATGACAGTTGCCAGTATGCAATCTACGAATGTACTCCATTACAAACGCAACGCAACGCAAATAAGACATGTTCAGTGAAGTCATTAATTCCACATGAATCATACGAACTTTACACAAGATTTAAGGAATGAAAGAAAATGCTAAGAATTTCAGTGAAGCTTAGTAAATAAGTTGCGGGAACAGAATGGAAGTTCTTAAAAAATCAAAATCTCAATGTGGAGAGAGTTTGAAAAAAAACTGTGGATACTTTTAAGAAGTTCCAAGTACCTCCAGGCATGGAAAATCATTTGCATTCATTTCATGCATTCATTTACATTGATTTGCCTCTAACTTTTTTCTTGAACAGTATTTCGCAAAATAATGGATAAAATTTTGTATGTTTTGTTATTCATTACAACTTTTGTTAACAAGTCAAATTCGTATCTCTTATGCATGACGAACCAGAGCGAACAGAAGCCACTACTGATTTTCAGTGAATGTATTTTACATTCACTGAAAAACAGTAACAAGTTCTGCCCGCTCTAGTTCGTGATGCATAAGAGATACAGATTTGAGATATGAGAAAAAGTTGTAGCTAATAACAAAATCTACAAAAGCTCTTTACATTATTGTGCGGAATGCTGTTGATGAAAAATTGAGAGGCAAATGAATGTAAATGAATGTATGAAATGAATGCAAATGATTTTCCAGCTTGAGTACCTCAAAAAACCTAGACCTAGAGATCTTTGGGGCAGTTCCCGTAACAGCAGAAAAGGTCAAACTTTTGGAGGAGTTTAAAATTCTACGAGCGTGAGAAGAGATAAATTCCAGGCAACTCCATGCTCAAGTAACAATTATGGTTTTATGAGGATTCTGTAGACCATGATTTATATTCATAGAATGTTTTAAACCCTCGATAAAAATTGCAATGTTACTTGGGTGTTCTTCAGTAAAAAATACTAGAACCCTTAAAATGTGCCGAGAATTTCAGAGATAGCATAGCGACATTCAGAGAAATTATGAAAACTTCTGAGATATTCTGAGATCTGGAGAGAGTTTGAGAAAAAACAGTGGAAACTTTTAAGAAGTTCCAAGTACCTCCAAAAACCTAAACCTAGAGATCTTTGGTGAATTTCAGGGATCTCAGGGGCAGTTCCCGTAACTGCAGAAAACGCCAGACTTTTGGAGGAATTTAAAATTCTATAAGCGTGAGATTAGATAAATTCAGGACAGTTCCATGTTCTTCAGAAAAAAATTACGAGAACCCTTAAGATGTGCCGAGAACTTCAGAGATGTATAGAGACCTTCAGAGAACTTCAGAGAAATTATGAAAACTTCTGAAATATTTCGAATTCTTCACAGAGGGACCTCTTCAGGAATGTTTAAAAATGTTCAGATGAGTTCCATTTATTTCAGAGCAGAACTAATATATTCTACCGTTGTGAGCAAAGGGCAATTCAAAAAATTTCAAGGAAACTGCAGAAAACTGACAGAAGTTTCGAGAAATTCAGGGAAATTTCTGAATCTTCAGCAAAGATCCGAGAGGATTTCCAGAACGTAAGAGATGTTATTATTAACATCAGGAAAATGTAAGGGTATTTCAAAATTGTTATATATTTATCATGGAAATTTCAAGAACTTAAAACATTTACGAAAATTTAACTAAGTTGATTTGAAAACTTCCAGGCAGTTTCATTTATTAAAAAAAAAATGCGATATCTTCAATTCCAGAGGTATTCATAGAAATTTTGAATCTTTTAGATAGTTTCATGATGCTCAGTGAAGTCGAGGATGATCAGATAGCTTCAGAGCAATCCAATTAAATTAAAGAAATTAGCAAAGACTTACAAAAAGTTCCGTGGAATTATGGGATATTTTTAGAATTCTATGAGTCATCCAAAAACTTTTTAAGCTTCAAGGAAATTTTAATTGTTAGGGGAACTTCAGAGATGCATAGAAAATAAGTAATTAAGACAAAGTTCCGTAAGTGTTATTAAGTTCACCAAACATTAGGAAAATTGAGGGTAATAAAAGGCAATTCAATTAACTTCAATAAAATTGCGGGCACTTATTTAAAAAAAAAATACAGAGCAATTCAAAACGTTAAGGAGGTTCAGAAATCTTTTGGACAAATTGATTAACATTAGAAAGTCTGTGCTAAGAATTTCAGTGAAGCTTAAATAATAAATAAGCTGCGGGAACACAAGGGAAGTTCTTAAAACATCTCTAAAATATGATGAACTGATGTGGTTGAATTAACTTAAAAAAATATGCAGGAACTTTTAAGAAGGTCTTGGAATTTCAGGAATATTCAGAGAATTTAACGAAATTCAGAGATGTGGAGAGAGTTTGAGAAAACGTGTGGATACTTATAAGAAGCTTCAAGTACCTCAGAAAAGCTAGACCTAGAGATCGTTGGTGAGCATCAGATATCTTAAGGGCAGTGATGCAAAATGTCATGACACTCACTCGACGCTCGCCAACGCATCAACCGACTATCGCTGACAGAACGTTTTGTCACGCAGTGAGAAGTAGAGCCATGGCAAACAACAATCACCAGTAATGGTCGCTGCTCACAGGCAAACTGCAACACTCGCTACTGATGATGAAAAGCTCAACGAAAAAAGTGAAGACTTCTGCAGTACGATGATGAGAAAAAGC